CCTCTGTAACTTTGCTCCAGTTCATTTTAGCAGCATGAATCTTTGCACAGGTAATGTTCACAAGTGGATTTATGGTTTCCATAAGTTTTAGTCTTGTTCATTATGGTCTTAAATGGGTTTTATACTGACCAATGAAAAAGTTATTCAGATTGAAGTGAAAAAATATATATGTTCCATCCTCAATATCTCTAAAACCACAGCACCTGTATTAATACTTGCCCTTCTAATAAAATCTCCCAAGTGTTAGCTTTAGTTTGATACCAAGATTATTTAAGTTGAGCTTGTAAATGCTGAGATACACTCAGTTACATTTCACCCTGGTATTTTGAGCAAAAAGCTCAACAAAACCTCTTGGAGATTAAGAGGTTAATTTGATACCRTTCAGTGAAACATTCTTTTAAAGTCTGATGTTTTATTTTTATTATTTTTGTCAATTTTAAGTATCCATGTAGCTCACCCGAACCCTTTTTTCATTCAAACTCTTCTTCTCTTTCAGCACGACAGGAGTGTGAGGGTGATGCGCTCCCTTCTGGCTGCTCAGCAGACTTTTGTAGACAAACTAGTGCAACTCATGAAAGCTGTCCAACGGGAGAGCGGAAACCGTAAGAAGAAGGTAAACAACCCATTTGTGTCAAAAAAACATTCAAACTGAAGTGTGAAAATCAAGAACTAAATGGCGAGTTKTACCAAAATGTGTGGGTCGTGTTTGATTTCAGATGTTAAGTCAAGTCAATTTTATTTATATAGCACATATAAACACAACTGCCGTTGGCCAAAGTGCTTCACATGTTAAAAACACCAAGAGTTGAAGCCTGTCTGATATGAAGGGGCAGCTGGTTCCACAGTTTAGGAGCCACAACAGAAAAGGCCCGATCACCTCTGTGGACCAGTCTGGACTGTGGGACAGCCAAAAGCAAATGATCACTGGATTTAAGAGATCTGGGAGGCACATAGGGCTGCAGGAGGTCTGACAGATATCGAGGAGCCAGTCCATTCAGAGCCTTGTAGGTCAGCAATAAAACTTTAAAAACTATTCTAAAAGAAACAGGGAAGCCAGCACCGGGGAGATATGATCACGCTTTTTTGTTCGTGTTAAAAGCCGTGCTGCAGCGTTCTGAACTAACTGCAGTCGTGAGAGGCCAGCCTGACTAACTCCAACATACAGAGTTACACTAATCCAGCTGAGATGTAATAAAAGTGTGGATTACACATTCAAAATCTCTGAGAGGTAAAAAGGATTAACTTTAGACAAAAGTCTAAGTTTAAAAAACAATCTCTTTACTACAGAACTAATCTGTTTCTCAAAGTTAAAATTTGAATCAAAGATCACCCCCAAATCTTTGACATACGATTTTAAAGATGGCTCTAAGGTACCAAGATCTATAGGGGAATCACTGTGATTAATGCTGGGTCCAAGAATAATAACTTCAGTTTTATTGTCTTAAAATTTTAAAAAGTTAGAAGCCATCCAAGTTTTGACCTCAGTGAGGCAGTCAAAGATTGGTTTTAATGAAGAATTATTGTGCTTAAATTGAAAATAGATCTGGGTGTCATCTGCGTAGGAATGAAAAAGGATGTTAAATTTTCTAAAAAAAAATAGCCTAAGGGTAGCATTTTTATTTATTTTTTTATTTATTTACTGTTATTTTACCAGGCAAATCCCATTGAGATCTCAGATCTCTTTTTCAAGGGCGGCCTGGGCCTGAAGGCAACCTATACCTAGCATGTATATGGAAAATAAAATGGGACCAAGAATGGAACCCTGGGGAACTCCACAGGGTTCCCCAGGGGGCTGAGGAGGAAACAGAATTTCCTAGGTTTACAGAAAAATTCCTGTCAGAAAGGTGAGACCTGAACCAGTCCAGTGCAGAGCCTTTGATACCACACTGGTCTAGCCTAGAGAGTAAAATATTGTGGTCTACTGTATCAAAGGCTGCTGTCTGGTCTAAAAACAAAAGAACAGCAGAGTCTCCAGAATCTGTAGCAATTAAAAGATTATTAAAAACCTTTAAAAGTGCAGTTTCTCTGTTGTGAAGGGCTTTAAAACCAGATTGAAACAATTCAAGAATTTTGTGAGCACTTATGATTAAAAAAGGAAGTTTAGAGATGGGCCTAAAATTTGAAAGGACAGGATATATTTGTTAATATAAGCTTTCCTTCACACGTGCCTGCAGACGGAGAGGCTGCAGTATCTGCTGGCAGACAACGAGAAGGTGAATCTCTCCGACATTGAGCCGATTCCTTTGCCTCTGGAGCCCCAGATCCGGATCAGAGGGATCATCCCGGAGACGGCAACACTTTTTAAGGTGCAACAAAAAAAGCCGACTTCAAACGATGCAACTTTGTTAAGCATGTGTGAGACAGAGGGGATCTCTAACCACCAGGACAAAACATAACAGCTCTGCGTCCAAGTCATCTCATCGTGCAGAAACACACATCCTTTCAGCTTGTTTTTCAAGAAACTAAACATTTACCAGCTTGTGTCTGTAGGCAAGGAGTGACTGCGTCTTCAGGAACAATCCTGTTCTCCAGGGTTTGATGTAAATCTCTCCTCTTTGTGTCAGAGCGCTCTGATGCCGGCCAAGCTGATCTTCAGAACCGAGGACGAAGCCATGTACCCRGTCATCTTCAAACACGGAGATGATCTGAGACAAGACCAGCTCATCCTGCAGATCATCTCGCTCATGGACAAGGTGAGATCGGTTCACGTTTTTGGGGACATCAGAGCGGGCCGTCAGCAGGCAATGGGACTCAGACTAGTCTGTAAATTGTCGAAAGTGTGCGTGTGGTCGCTGGGGGGACTCTCCCAGATCTCTCCTATGGTCTGATCTGGGGGGTGGGTGGGCAGATCTTCCCGTGC